CAGGGCTGGCACAATGGGCTGATCAACATAGTAGACTTGGTGGCTTCTCAGGGGCTCAAGATCATAGACACCGTCTCACTAACGTGCAGAGCTACAGCTAAGCACCCAACTTGCTTGCAGCAGACACTGACACTGAGTCCTATACCTGGTGCTATTCCTTAGTGGGGAGAGAAAACATCCAGCCATATGGTGGCAGGTCGATGACATCAGAGCCCTTCCTCTTTTGAGGGAGCAGTGATTTGTCCTTACCAGAATTATGACAAACTCCAGCAGCAGCCTCCATGTGCCTACAGAATGCCTGCTCTCTCCGCATGGTATCCCACAGCACAGTGCCTCAGACCAAAGAACCCATTTCACAGCGAAGAGGCGAAACAGGCTTTCGATCACAGGGTGAACTGGTCCTGCCCATCACCCATAATTAATCAGCATGATAGAATGATGGAGTGGCCTGTTGAAGGCCCAGGAAGGCACCATCTGGGGAACAACTCTTTGTGGGGGTGCTGGTATAAAAATAGACACGTAGACCAATGGAACAGAATAGAGAGCCCAGAAATAAAGTCAAATATGCACAAATTTGTGAGCTTTGACAAAGCACACAAAAACATAAATTAGGGGGCTGGGTGCAGTGGCTCACAACTATAATCCCAGCACTTTGGGTGGCCAAAGCAGGCAGATGGCTTGAGCCCAGGAGTTCAAGACCAGCCTGGGCAACATGGCAAAACTCTGTCTCTACAAAAAGTACAAAAATTAGCCATGTATGGTGGCGCATGCCTGTAGTCCCAGCTACTTGGGAGGCTAAGGTGGGAGGATCGCTTGAGCCCAGGAGGTTGAGGCTGCAGTGGGCTGAGATTGTGCCACTGCCTTCCAGCCTGGGTGACAGAGTGAGACGCTGTCTTTTTTTTTTTTTTTTAAGATGGGGTTTCACCATGATGGCCAGGCTGGTCTTGAACTCTTGACTTCAGGTGATCCACCTACCTCGGCCTCCCAAAGTGCTAGGATTACAGGCATGAGCCACCACACCCAGCTGAGACCCTGTCTTAAAAAATAAACAAATAAATATATTGGGGAAGAACACCTTGTTCAATAAATGGTGTTGAGTAACCTGGCAAGCCACATGTAGAAGAATGAAACTGGTTCCCCATGTCTCACCTTATACAAAAATCAACTCAAGATGGACTAAAGACTTAAATCTAGGCCAGGCGTGGTGGCTCAAGCCTGTAATCCCAGCACTTTGGGAGGCCGAGGCGGGTGGATCACGAGGTCGAGAGATCGACACCATCCTGGTCAACATGGTGAAACCCCGTCTGTACTAAAAATACAAAAAACTAGCTGGGCGTGGTGGCGCGTGCCTGTAATCCCAGCTACTTAGGAGGCTGAGGCAGGAGAATTGCCTGAGCCCAGGAGGCGGAGGTTGCGGTGAGCCGAGATCGCGCCATTGCACTCCAGCCTGGGTAACAAGAGCGAAACTCTGTCTCAAAAAAAAAAAAAAAAAAAAAAAAAGACTTAAATCTAAGGCCTGAAACCATAAAATTTTCAGACGATAACATTGGAAAAACTCTTCTGGACATTGGCTTAAGCAAAGAATTCATGATTAAGTCCCCAAAAGCAAATGCTATGAAAACAAAAACAAATAAATGGGACCTGATTAAACTAAAAAGCTTCTGCAATAGCAAAAAAAACTCATCAGCAGAGTAAACAGCCCACAGAGTGGGAGAAAACATTCTCAAACTGTGCATCAGTTCCTATAGGATAAACAAAGACTAGTGTCCAGAATCAAGGAATTCAAACAAATCAGCAAGAAAAAAACAATCCCATCAAAAAGTGAGCAAAGGACATCAATAGACATTTCTCAAAAAAGTTATACAAACAGCCCAAACACATACAACAAAATGTCCATATCAGGCCGGGCGCGGTGGCTCAAGCCTGTAATCCCAGCACTTTGGGAGGCCGAGGCGGGTGGATCACGAGGTCGAGAGATCGAGACCAACCATGGTCAACATGGTGAAACCCCGTCTCTACTAAAAAAATACAAAAGATTAGCTGGGCATAGTGGCGTGTGCCTGTAATCCCAGCTACTCAGGAGGCTGAGGCAGGAGAATTGCCTGAACCCAGGAGGCGGAGGTTGCGGTGAGCCGAGATCGCGCCATTGCACTCCAGCCTGGGTAACAAGGGCGAAACTCCGTCTCAAAAAAAAAAAAAAAAAAAAAAAAAAAAAATGTCCATATCACTAATCATCAGGGAAATGCAAATTAAAACCACAGTGAAATACTACCTTTCTTCTGTAAGAATGGCCATAATTAAAAAGTCAAAATACAATAGATGTGGCCAGCTGTGGTGGCTTATGCCTGTGATCCCAGCACTTTGGGAGGCTGAGGCAGGGGGATCACCTGAGATCACGAGTTTGAGAACAGCCTGGCCAACGTGGTGAAACCATGTCTCTACTCAAAATACAAAAGTTAGCTGGGCATGGTGTCAGTCACCTGTAGTCCCAGCTATTTGGGAGACTGAGGCAGGAAAATCACTTGAACCTGAAGGCAGAGGTTGCAGTGAGTCGAGATCGCACCTCTGCACTCCAGCCTGGGCGACAGAGACTCCATCTCAAACATACACACACACACACACACACACACACACACACACACACACACACACAAATAGATGTTGGCATAGATGTGGTGAAACGGGAAAAACGGTTTTACATTACTGGCAGGAATGTAAATTTTTACAACCACTATGAAAAATAGTACGGAGATTCCTTAAAAAAAAAAAAAAAGTAGAGGCCGGGCGCGGTGGCTCACGCCTATAATCCCAGCACTTTGGGAGGCTGAGACAGGTGGATTATGAGGTCAAGAGATCGAGACCATCCTGGTCAACATGGTGAAACCCCGTCTCTACTAAAAATACAAAAAAAATTAGCTGGGCATAGCGGCGCACGCCTGTAGTCCCAGCTACTCGGGAGGCTGAGGCAGGAGAATTGTCTGAACCCAGGAGGCGGAGGTTGCGGTGAGCCGAGATCGCGCCATTGCACTCCAGCCTGGGTAAAAAAAGTAGAAATACCATTATATCCAGCAATCCCATTAGTGGGTGTCTATCCAAAGGAAAAGAAATCATTCTATAAAAAAGACATATGCACATGCATGTTTATAGCAGCACAATTTGCAATTGCAAAGATATGAAACCAACTTAAGTGCCCATCAACCAATGAGAGGATAAAGAAAATGTGGGATATATGCATCATGGAACGCTACTCAGCCATAAAAAGGAATGAAATAACGTCTTTTGCAGCACTTGGATGGAGCTGGAGGCCATTATTCTAAGTGGAGTAACTCAGGAATGGAAAACTCATTTATAAGTAGGAGCTAAGCCATGAGGACACAAAGGTTTGAGAGTGATATAAGGGAATCTGGGGACTTGGGAAGGATGGGAGGTGGAGCAAGGAATAAAAGACTACATATTGCATTAAAATCTCAGAAATCGCCACTAGATAACTTATCCATGTAACCAAAACCCAACGGTACCTCCAAAACTACTGAAAATGTAGAACATGTTTTAAAAAGGAAGAGAACAGTACATAATTTTTTTCAAAAACAGTATGTCTTGGCAGGTCCATCTCCCCCACCTGACATCTTGAGACAAAGTTCCTTTTCCTCTTTGTTCTCAGTACCAAGAACAGCGCATAGCACATAGTCATGAACCTTTGGCCTAAATCACAGTGAACGTAGTGAAAGGAAGTCCAGCTTCTAGTCCCAGCACTCACACCAACTTCTCAGACACTGAAAGACTCTGGCCAAGGCACTTCTCTGAGCTTCAGTTTACCCTTCTGGTAAATAGGGACAATGTTCTTGTCCCGTTCTTAGTCTGTGAGGATCAATTTAGAGAGAAATGGGATTAGTCCTTTGGTGTGGCGGGAAGTCTAAGCACACTGGGAGTTTAAGACATCAGCACCAGCCAGCGCGGTGGCTCACGCCCGTAATCCCAGCACTTTGGGAGGCAGAGGCGGGTGGATCACTTGAGACCAGAAGTTCAAGATCAGCCTGGCCAACATAGAAACCCCTCTCTATTAAAAATACAAAAATTAGCCGGGCGTGATCCCAGCTACTCGGGAGGCTGAGGCACAAGAATCCCTTGAACCTGGGAGACGGAAGTTGCAGGGAGCTGAGATTGTGCCATTGCAGTCCAGCCTGAGTGACAGAGCTAGACTCTGTCTCAAACAAACAGAAGACACCAGCACCGATGTTATTAACAACAACTGCTGATAGCATTGATGCTAATGATGACCTGCTTAGCTGGAGGAATTCTCCTTCCTTCCTCCAGGATTCCCTGGTTTTGACCTAATTAAGCTCCATTATCTGCTGAATGATGGAAGCCAGGCCCCCTCCTCTCTAACCCCTTGTCTCACAGATTTCTTTTTTAATTTTTAAAAAAGAGAGATGGGGTCTCACTATGTTGCCCAGGCTGAGCATGAACTCCTGGGCTCAAGCAATCCTCTCAGCTGAGCCTCTCAAAGTACTGGGATTATGGGCGGAGCCACCACGCCCAGACTCATAGATTTCATATGTCCTCAAAAAGTCCTTCCAGAAGTCTGACCCACATCCTTCATGTTGCAACCCTGCCCTCTCCCTTCTTCATGTCGCCTCAAAGCATAATCCGTGAGCACCTTGTGTAGCTTATCCCTGAGAGTAACATCCCCATTCCCACTGCAGAACAGGCCAAGAGGCAGAGGGGGAGATTTTCCAGAGAGAAAGAAATATAAGCCAAGAGAGATAAGAGAGAAAGAGTGAGGGGGGGAGAGAGAGAGAAAAAGGAAAGTTCTAGTTTGCGATGAGGGAGCAGAGAAAGAATCTGGAGGGATGGAGGTCAGATAGCAGTAAGGACTTCCTAACACCTAAACACAGAATGACACAGATACCCCCACCACTACACCACCGCTATCTACAGCTGCACGGCTTCCGGGGGTGGGACCATTGTCTTAAGGCTTTCCATGACGTGGGTCCTCTGCCAGAACGAAGGCTGTGGGTAAGGCGACATTTCCTGCCCCCGGGGCCAGGGCTCGGGGAGAGATGATGAGTTGCTGAGTGTGCACCCCTTTCCGGAGCACATACACACTCCCTGCTCTGGGGTCCCTTGTCAGGCTGCCCCCATGGAGCTCCCCCTGGCCCAGATATGTCCCCGAGGTAAGTGTGAAGTTGGAGGATACGGGTGAGGGGGACACCAAGACCCCCCCCCAACCAGCCCTGTCTCCAGGGCCGGAGCTCCCACTTCAGGGATGAGGGGCCCCACCCTAAGCCAGAGCTGGAAAGGCTCTTCAGCACCACAGCCCTGCCTGGGGCTCCATGCTCACTCATCCCTGAGGATAAAGGTGACAGGGTTTGTTGAGTGCTTCTCAGAGAAGAGAGAGGAGGGAGCAGGAGGATGAAGGGAGGAGGAGGCAAAAGACCCAGGACCAGAAGAGGGGCCTGCCCTGAAGCGATCTGCCTCTCTGACCATCCAAGGGCCAGCCTGGTTCCCAGGCTTTCCTTCTAGGCACCTGGTGTCCCTGACAGCCTCCTCTGGCAGCAATAGCTCCCACCCCCCATCCCCACCCCCATGCCACCTTGGCTCCTTATCCTCATGCCTGAGAAACTCCCCTGCTGCCCTCCTGCGTTTTTCCTGTCTTTAAGACTGTCCCAGCCCTCCGGGTCCCCGGAGCCTTGGGGGACGGGTGGTCAGGCTGAGATAGACACAGTCTGTCTCTGAGAAACCCTTTGCGCTCACAGGGAGTCACGAAGTCCCCGTCCCAACCTTCAGCACCTTCCAGCCCACGCACATGACCCGCAGGAGCTGCCAGCGCCTCGGCTACACTGCGGTGAGTGGAAACCTGGGGCGGCAGGGGCGTGCAAGGCCGTCTTCTCTCCCGCCCTCCCATGGGTAAGGACTTGCAGATGGACAAAGGCCACCCCGAGAGAAGGCAGGAATGATCCGGGTCTGCCAACAGCCTGGGGCACAGAGGGAGAGAATGAAAATGGGGAGTACCTCCTTCATGCACTGAGTTTCCCACTCACCCCCTCGATGCTCCTAGGCCCTCCGGCAGCTCAGGCTGAGTCCGCAGGTGACCAGGGTCCAGTGCATGGAGTCCCAGAAGCAGCCATCGGCACTTCTGGGACTTGCCCAGTGCATTCCACTTTCCCATCTCAGCCCTCCTCTCCCGCCCCGTCAAGAACTTTCCCTGCAAATTAGCTCAGTCCCTCATATGGTGGAAAAAGCCCCTCCCTCATTCTGGCCTCTTGGGTGACTTCTTGCATCATGTCCCTGCATCCTCGAGGCCAGGGAGTGACTGTCCAACTGGAAGGCCATGCTGCCTTTCCCGCCCCTCCAAGAGCCCAGCATGACAGCTCACTGCAGCTGGATTAAAAGCCCTCAGGACCCAGATGGCAGAGGAGAATCTCTGGAAGCCACAACAGCTGAAGCTGACAAAGCGTTTTAAGTTAGACTTTAGGAAGGACTTTCTGGGCAATTGTACCCTAAAATAGGCAGGAAAGGCTAGGTATGAGGAAGAGAAGGTGGCAGGTGGCTCCAAGTCAAGAGAAAGCCCACTCATCATGCTGCTTCCCTCTCCTTGAACTCTTCCCCAATCCAGGCATCTCCCCAGGCCCCAGAGGCTGCCTCCATCCCAGAGAATGCTGAGAGGGCAGAGGAGGTGCCTGGGAAAGGAAGCCTGTCCCTGCAGGCCAAGATCCGGGCTTGGTTCCAGAAGACCCAGGCCCACTGGCTCCTGCAGCACGGGGCAGCCCCTGCCTGGTTCCATGGCTTCATTACCCGGAGGTGAGTCACAGAGGAGGAAATCAGCCAAGACAGGCGCAGGGCAAGTCCCGGGTCTGGGTCCTCCCACTCCCACCAGTGTAGATGGAGGCATTCACTGCAGGCTGCCCCTCCCAGAGTTTCCCAGACCTTTCACTGAGGCATTTCTCCAGGGGAGATCATTGGAGAGGCTCCAATCCAGCCTGCTCTGTGCCTCAGTTTCCCCTCTCTAGGCTCCATTATCCTCCTGTCCCTAGGCCTCGAATGCTGGTATTTTCCAGCTCTCTCTCCCTCCAGACTTACTGCATCTTTACCTCCCAGGCCTCTCTTCTTCCACCCTTGCAGATCCTCCCTCCTCCATTTCTCAGCCTCACTTCTCTCCTATCTCTTTGTTCACCCTCCTCAGTTCAGCTTTGACTTCTGAAATCTGCCAGTCCAACTACTATCCCATCCCTGTTGCTACAGTAGCAGCCCCTGCAGGCTGCCCTTCCGGGATGAGGCTAGAGGAGGATGCGGGGGTCTCCTGAATGGGACTCCTGGCCCCTGTCCACGACCAGTACCTGCAGCGGGAGAGCAGCGCCCACATGTTCTCTCTCCCCATCTCAACCCTAGCCCTCTAGCTGCTCCAGTATGCTCGCTTGCGGGTAGGGGTTCCTCGTGAGAGCCGGGGAGACAGAGGAGAGGCTGGAAGTGTCAGAGCAGGGTTCGGCCCCCTCTCTCTGTCACCCACAGGGAGGCAGAGAGGCTGCTGGAACCCAAGCCTCAGGGATGCTACTTGGTGCGGTTCAGCGAGAGCGCGGTGACCTTCGTGCTGACTTACAGGTGAGGGGCGAGATCGCGCAGCGGGGCTCGGGCTCGTCGGAGGGGTGGGGCTTGGGGCTGGAGGAGCGGGGCTCTCAGCTCAGTCCCCGGGCTGCTGAGGTGGGGACACGCCTCGAGCTGCTGGCCCTGGCCGAGGAGAGGGAGACAGTCTGATCCCTAACGGCGCCCTCCAGGAGCCGGACTTGCTGCCGCCACTTCCTGCTGGCCCAGCTCGGGGACGGGCGCCACGTGGTGCTGGGCGAGGATAGCGCCCACGCGCGGCTGCAGGACCTGCTGCGGCACTACACGGCACACCCTCTCAGCCCCTACGGGGAGACGCTCACCGAGCCCCTTGCCCGCCAGGTACGCGCCCCAGACCCTGACCCGAGAGCCCAGGGTCTCAGGCCAGCGCCCCTCCCACTCAGAGCCCAGGCGCAGGACAGGGCACCAGGCACTTTCTCATCCCGAAACACCACCGGCCAGGCCTCCCTTACGCTGGCACGCTGGCACCTTCCTCTTCGTGGGAGGCCCTTCGAGAAACAGGAATGCTGGGCTGGGCTGGGTGGGGGGGCAGGGCGTCCTTGAGAGGCCAGCACAGCCGCACGGAGACAGAGGGGCAAGGAGAGACCAGGGGCACACAATCATTTGGGGTTTTTTGTGTGTTTTGTTTTGTTTGAGACAGAGTCTCTCTCTGTTGCTCAGGCTGGAGTGCAGTGCCATGATCGCTGCTCCCTACAACCTCCGCCTCCCGGGTTCACTTGATTCTCCTGCCTCAGCCTCCCGAGTAGCTGGGATTACAGGAGTGAGCCACAGCACCCAGCCTAGTCATTTGTTTTTTTAATGTAAGAGAGATTTACAAAGTACTTAGGCTCTACCAAGTGCTGGCAGGTCCTGAGAATAGACCCATGAGCAAGACAGACAGGTGGGTCTCAAACTCACAAAGCTTACTTTCCAGCAGCAAAAAATGGACAAGTAATAGAAATCCAGTGTGGAGAGTGTGATTCTAGAGGAAACCCAGAGTGCCCTTTAGCTTAGCAGGCAGTGGTGCACAAGTTCAGGCAGTGCTCAGGGGCCATTCTATGCCAGGCTACCTTCTGGGCACTGGAAAAACAGCAAGAACAAAACAGTGGGTTGGAAGGACAAGACAATGCAGGGAGAGGAGTCAGGAGCCTGAACTAAGGTGCTGGCCATGTGCATGGAGAAAAGTACACAGACATGAACAACAGACAGTGGAAGGGGCAGGACTTGTGTATGATTTCATGTTGGAAGGAAGGTGGAGCCATCAAGGCTGACTCCTAAGGTGCTATTTTGGTAACAGGGTGGAGATGTCACTTTTTAGTCAGGAAGGACATACTGAGAGAGGAGGGGGTTAGGGCAAGGAAAAGAATTCTTTAGATTCCACAGTACACCTCCGGATGGAGACGTGCACTTGGTGGATAGCAGGAGCACGAGAAAAGCCCTGTGACCTTAGCCTACAGGGGCCGTGGGCATGGGGACAGCATTCATGGACCAAGGGCTAATGAACGCTGAGCTAAAAGCACACCCTCTGTGAGATGGAACCATCCTACATGGGGATCCTCTCTCCTGAGGTAGTCTCTGCCCTTAAAAATGTTAGCTTATGGCTGAGCACGGTGGCTTATGCCTGTAACCCCAGCACTTTGGGAGGCCAAGGCCAGTGGATCACCTGAGGTTGGGAGTTCAAGATCAGCCTAACCCAACATGGTGAAACCCTGTCTCTACTGAAAAATACAAAAATTATCTGGGTGTGGTGGTGGGCCCCTGTAATCCCAGCTACTTGGGAGGCTGAGGCAGAAGAATTGCTTGGACCTGGGAGGCAGAGGTTGCAGTGAGCCGAGATCACGACACTGCACTCCAGCCTAGACGACAGAGTGAGACTTGGTCTCAAAAAAAAAAAAAAAAATTCGTTTATAACTCCATAAATTAACCAGCAGTGCAGAAATAAACACAAGCACAGCTGTCATAGAGATTAGTCCCCATGCCAGTAATTTTTCAGCTAAAGACGTGTAAGGCCTACAGTGTAGAGGATAGCTGGGAAAAAGGAAAAAAAAAAAAAAAAAAAAAAAAGACCAGTAAAGTTCTGTTGCATTTTCACAACCACAGGCACAAATGGAATCTGGCCTGGCCCTGTGTTCCAGATGCAATTAAGTTTAATGCAGCCAAGTGTGGTGGCTCACGCCCGTAATCCTACAATAGAAGGCTGCAGTAGGAGGATCACTTGAGCCCAGGAGTTCAAGACCACGACGCCTGGGCAACATAGTGAGACCTCATCTCTATAAAAAATGAAAACACAGTTAGCTGGTGTGGCAGCACATGTCCGTAGTCCCAGCTACTTAGGAGGCTGAGGTGAGAGGAGGGCTTGAGCCCAGGAGGTCAAGGCTGCAGTGAGCTGAGACTGCACTTCAGCCTGGACAGCAGAGTAAGACTCTATCTTAAAGAAGAAAAAGTTTAACCCTAGATATGGCCTGTGACCAGCGTTCAGCACTGCCTCCACCCAACCCAGGGTCTCCTCACCATCTCCAGCCCCTCTTCCGCATCCAGAAAACCCAGCCCAGGCCAAATTTCTGGGCCCATCCCACCCCCCATCCTCCACTTAGACCTGATGATTTTGTGCTCCGAATCACCTCCCCCTCCTCAACGTCCCCTCAAGTTTCTCAGAACTCCTTCTTTCCCAGCAGACTCCTGAGCCTTCAGGACTTTCCCTGAGGACTGAAGAATCAGACTCCGGAAGCAAAAGCCAGGACCCAAACCCCCAGTACAGCCCAATAATCAAGCAGGGGCATGCCCCAGTCCCGATGCAGAAAGAGCGGGTCGGAGAGAAAGAGGTATTGGGCTGAAGGGGCTGAGGGAAGGGGAGGAGAGGCCTGCCAGGGGGTGCAGGCAGCAGGGAGGAGGAGGGGCGTAGCAGGGCAGAGGCTCAGCTGGGAGTTAGGCTAGGGCTTTAACCGCGCTGCGGTGTTAACCCTGCCTCCCTCGCTCTACTCTTCTCTGGCCTCACCTCTCCTAGCCCTCCCAGCCACTCAGGCCCAAGCCTCCCATCCCCGCCAAACCTCAGCTGCCCGCAGAACTCTACACAAGCCCTGCTCCACGCCGCTGCCCGGCCTCACCCCCCAAGCCCCCCAATCCTATCTACAACGAGCCTGATGAACCCATAGCCTTCTACGCCATGGGCCGGGGCAGCCCCGGGGAAGCCCCCAAAAACATCTATGTAGAGGTGGAAGATAAGGGCCTGCCTGCCACCCTTGGTCACCCTGTCCTACGGAAAAGCCGGTCCAGGCCTGTCCCAGGAGCCCAGGTAATGGGTGTGCCAGGAAAGGTGGGTGCAAGAAGGTCTCCCTGCAGGTAGATCGGGGAAGGGGAAGAAGGTGTTGGGAGTCGATGCCCAGGTCAGGGCGAAGGACAGGGGTGTGAGGTGATGTGGGAAGGGCGGAATGATCCAGGTGCCAGCCTCCCTTCTCCAGGCCCAGAGACTCCCCCGTCTTCTCCCCAGAGTCACTCAGACCTCATCTTTGTCAAGCCCCTATGCCCTCCTACCTCACAGAGAAAATTGAGGCCCCGGGCAGGGATCCCCTCAGCCTCCGCCATCGAGACGTTTTTGATCTGCATCCATCTTGTCCTGCAGGCCCGCTTCAGACGCACCTGGGGCTGACACCCCCCGCCCCCAACCACAATGCCTCTCGGGCTCTCTCCCTTGGCCTTCATGGTCCTGCTGTCCTGGAGAAAAAGAGCACTTGGGGTCCCTTATATCATCTCAGGGAAGTCCCAGGAGGAGGATTCTGCTCTCCCAGCCTCCTGTGTACTCCCCGTCTCCCTCTTCCTTCTCCCCACCCCGAAGTCTTCTGGCCTACCTTTCAAGTCAGTATCTCATGGCATGGGTTAGCCCCAGCAGCCATCCCACCCTCTCCCTCGGCCTCTGCGGCTCTCGTGAAGCCCTTCCCCAGCCTCCCTCCTCAGACCCTTCCCCAGCCTCCCTCCTCAGACCCTTCCCCGGGCTCCCCCTCAGCCTGAGCCTGCTGGCGCTCACCCACACCCCTGCCGACGCCTGCTGTCCTAGAGCTGACGCCCCTGTCCATGTCTCCATCCAAACTTCTCTCCAAGCTTCCGGTCAGTTCCCCCAGCATTCCACGGTCCCTCAGACCACACAGCCAACACCGCTGTCACCCTTGCCCTCCAAACGGCTCCTTCCCATGTTCCCTATCCTGACTGGTAACTCTCCAGCCACCCAGCTATCCAAGCCAGAATCCCAGGGCTCCCTCTGCACTGCTCCCTCTTCGCTCCCCACAGAAGCCACTCGTTCACTGCTGGATCTCTTCCTGAGTATATTTTTCCTTTCCCCAGTTCCAGCCCCCATCATTGGGGTCTGGCTTTGTCACCCAGGCTGGAGTGCAGTGGCACAATCATAGCTCACTGCAGACTCGAACTCCTGGGTGCAAGTGATCCTACCACCTCACCTGAGATTTGCAGGCTCGAGCCACCTCACCTGGCTCCCAAGAGCTTCTTTTTTGTATGGAGTCTTGCTTTGTCACTGAGGCCGGAGTGCAGTGGCGCAATCTTGGCTCACTGCAACCTCCGCCTCCCAGGTTCAAGTGCCTCAGCCTTCCGAGTGGCTGCTTCTGTGTACGCCCACCACCATGCTCGGCTAATTTTTGTATTTTTTGAGAGACAGAGTTTCACCATATTGGCCAGACTGGTCTTGAACTCCTGACCTCATGATCCACCCACCTCGGTCTCCCAAAGTGCTAGGATTACAGGCGTGAGCCACTGCACCTGGCCCCAAGAAAAAGCTTCTTAACTGGTTTCCTAACCACCATTCTTGCGACTTCAGATCCACTCTGCACCGAAGAAGCCAGGATGGCCTTGCTGAAGCAGCTGCTTGGCCCATGATGTACTCTAGACTTGGATGAGGGGATCCCACCTCCAAAGCCTTACCACCAGCTGCTCCCATTCTCCTGGAATGATTCACATCTCTCTAAACTCACCAAGTAGTTGCAAGCCTCCTGGGATTTGCACCCATCAGTATCTCTGCCTGTAGCAACTTCCTGCAAGCTCATCCTCTCGTTGCCTGGCAACTTTCTAATCATCAAAGCTTCAGGACCAGCTTTCCCTTCTCAGAGGCCACAGAGGCCAACCCCTGTGCTTTACAGACACCTGCCATGCCATTGATCACCTGACACACCCATCTCTTCCCATCTCCTTCTCTCTGTCCCTTCCCCAGCTTAGAGTGTGAGCTCCCTGAAGGCAGGAGCTGAGATTTACTCATCTGTTTCCAAAACACCCAGCCCAGAGCCTGGCATGGAGCAGGTACTCAGGAGACGTTTATTGAATGAATGAATGAATGAATGAATGAATGAATGAATAAGAAGAGTTTAGACACCCTCTCTGGAAGCCAAAGTCTGTTACGTGTTGAGACTGTAGGTACACCTAGGAGGCAGAGGGTAGAGGGTGTGACCTTGGACTGTTCTTATCTCTGCAGAATACAGGTGGCTCCCAGCTGCATTCTGAGATCTCTGTGATTGGGCAAGGCCCTCCCCTGCCTCACCAGCCCCCACCTGCCTGGAGACACACCCTCCCCCACAATCTTTCTAGACAGGTGCTTCAGGACAGAGGAAAGGCATGGCTCCCTCTCGGGCCTCCTCAGTAGGCGGTAAGTCTGAGCTTGGGGAGGATAACTTGGGAGCATCAGGTCCATAGACCTTCACACACACCTGGCACCCTTCTCAGGAAATGTGGATGGATCAAACCACAGGTGATCAAAGCTGGAAAAAACCTCGGCCATCATCTATTGCAAGAATGGCAAAGAGGCGTCATCTTGCATGCCAACTCCAATCCATTGGTTGTGGCTGCCTAGAGTGCTGCATTGGAAAGGATGCTAAGGTCGTATCTGAACTCAGCAGAAAAAAAGCGCATGATTGATTAGTGATGTCTGCCACGGGTAGGGGCGGGAGGATGAGCAGCGTTACATTTGCCCTCACTGATCAAGTCCAACCCCCTCACTGTGCGGAAAGGAAACACAGCCCGAGAGGGACAGTGACTTGGCCAAGGTCAAGGACTGGAATCCAGACTTCCTGATTCCCTGTTTAGTGCTCTGCTCCTTCCCACACATCCACAAACTCCAGTCCACAGGAAACATCCGAGATTTTCTCAAATAGGAAGTCTGGCCACTTTCCAGAGTTCTGCTACACGGAGGCCTGGGTGCTGGGTCCCCTCCTCTGGATCCCAGCTTAACTCTGTCCCCTGACAGGTCTGGCCTGACCCCCAACAAAGAAGCCTGGAGGTCAGAGAAGGAAATGTAGAGTCTGCTCCCTCCGGAGATCCCAAGAATCCAGTGGCTCAGTGCTTGGTGATTGTCTAAGACAGCAAGAAGTGTGCGAGGAGGGCCCTGCTGGCTCCCACTGTCCTGGTTTCTCCTCCTGGAGTCTAATTTCCTTGGCCCTTGAGCCTTTGGGTCTGGGCCCTGGTCCAATAATGCTGCTGTTGTCTGAGGAATGGTTTGGTGAGAACAGATGTTAGAACTTGTTTGTCGATTCTTGTCTGGCTAATAAATCATCACCAACTGCCTCCCCCTACAGGGATTCAAGTCCTCCAGGCTCCTTCTGTCTCTGTCTCTGACTTTCTCTCTCTCAAACTGTGGAAAGCAAGTGGTTGAACTGCCATTGCAGTGAAGGTGGAGGGGCTCGAGGGCTGGCAGACACCAAGGCCAGGGCCACAGACCTCTGCAAAGTATTCCTTCTCTGGCTGGGACGGTTGAGTGGGCAGCCAGGGACATAGAGGTGGCTGCACCACCTAAGACATAAAGAAAGAGGGGCAGAGAGGTGAGCAGTTGAAACAGCCCCTTCACTTTCTCTGCAACCCTCGCTGCTATGTACAGGACTGGGAGAAGGAAGATGTGTGTGTGAGCCCTTAGAGGACAGGAATCCCCTTGGAACTGGCTCCAGGACTCTCATCTTCTAGCCTCTTGGGCTTAGGCCCTTTGCCTCAATTAGGACCCCATTCTCTCCCCTATCCCTCTTGCTTCCCCATTCTCTGCCCAGACCCACTAAAGAGCCAGCCTCCTGTCCTCGTGCAAAGCTCTACACTCTGGGGCTCTGGCATGTGCCTTAGGTCTTACTCTTGTCTCAGACTGGGGACTTTTTTTTTTTTTTTTTTTTTTTTTAAGACAGGGTCTTGCTCTGTCGTCCAGGCTGGAGTGTAGTGGCACAATCATAGATCACTGCAGCCTTGAACTCCTGGGCTCAGGAATCCTCCTGTCTTAGCCTCCCAAGTTGCTGGGACTACAGGTGTGCACCACCATGCCCGGCTAATTTAAAAACAAATTTTTGTAGCCGGGCGCGGTGGCTCATGCCTGTAATCCCAGCACTTTGGGAGGTGGATCACCTAAGGTCAGGAGTTCGAAACCAGCCTGGCCAAGTTGGTGAAACCCCGTCTCTACTAAAAATACAAAAATCAGCCAGGCATGGCAGTACATGCCCGTAATCCTAGCTACTCAGGAGGCTGAGGCAGGAGAATTACTTGAACCCAGGAGGCGGAGGTTGCAGTGAGCCGAGATCACACCATTGTACTCCAACCTGGGCAACAGAACAAGACTCCATCTCAGGGAAAAAAAAAAAAAATTGTAGAGACAGGGTCTCACTATGTTGCCCAAGCTGGTCTCAAACCCCTGGCCTCAAGTTATATATTCCTGTGGCAGCCTCCCCAAGTGCCGGGATTACGGCTGTGAGCCACCACACCCAGCAAGACAGGGGGCTTTCTAAGGCAGGGCTGTGTCTGCCCCTGGATAGTCCTCAGGGCTCAGAGCTGAGATGAAATCATCCAGAGCTGCCCAGGCTTGGGGACTCCAGTGGTCCCATCTGTGCAGGCTGTTCTTTTCACATTCACTCCTACAAGAGTCTAGTCCTGGCAATCAGCCGGTCAGGGGCCCTGTACCTACCTGAGACACAAGAACCCTCCAGACCCTTTCCTTAAGCCACAGTCCCTAGGCCTGGGCATTGCCACCACCACACCACCCCCAGCCTGGCCCAGATGCCAGCTCCAGTGACTGGCCAATTCCCCTCCTTTCCACTCCAGTGCTAATCAGCTTAAGGAGAAATATGGTGCTGAGTCAACAGAGTTGGGGTTCCACTTCCCTTTGTATAGACCTCAGATCTCAACACCCTCCTAAGCAAGAGGAGAGGTGGGGAGGGAGGCAGAGGGGCAGGGAGGGAGGAGCAGATGGCTTTGCTGCAATCAAGGAGGAGGCTGAAAGTGCCAGAAAGGTCTCAGATTAGACACAGGGAGCCAGTTACCTCGTGGCTGATTCCTTGGGGCAGGGGAGGAGGCAGAAAAGAGTGGCGTATTTATTGCACAGCAAGAGACAGGAATCAGAAAGTCAGAGAAGAGATTTCCTCAGACTTAGGGATGTAACAGAATGGGCAGGTGTGGGGAGGGGGACCGAAAAGGCCTAGTGACCCACTTGGTGTTTCTGGAGGAGAAAGCCTGGGGCAGAACAGGGGCAGGAGCAAAGCCAGGGGCAGGGCATGACCTAGGGACCCTCTCCGTCCTTCTGCAGCTCCACAGAACATGGGTGGACACACCAAAGGGGTACTGGAACTCAGATGAAGCTATGCCACCAAGACTCTGGGTCTGTCGTGGACTAGTGTCAGATCCACTGCTCCCTCCGTTCCTTATGCAATGGAGATATGCCTCATTTGCACACAGGGTCTCATGGCACACAGATGAGACCATGCAAGTGAAGGGCTTTGAAAAGCAGTACTGCTGGGGCTAGAAGGGACTTCAGAGACCCTTGATGACAGTTTTTGGCTCAACTAAAGAGGAAACTGAGCTCTAGAGAGGGGAGGTGACAGGGAGCCAGGTACAGTCAGGCTCAGGGGCCGGATCTTGTCATCCCAACCCAGTGTTCCTCCAAATACCACGGGGCCCCCCCTAGGCCAAAAGATAAGGTCCCAGTCCTGCTGAGGGCCACAGCTGCAGGCCCAGCTCTGAAGACCAAGGTGACGGAACCTTCCTTCCCCTCATGAGGGGCCCCCTGCACCACTGCACCATCCTGTACACTTTCCTCCAAGCTGAGGCCTGGGGCTGCGGTGAGACCTCAGGAGGGAGAAGTTGAGTAACTGTCCAGGAAAAGGGAACTGGGGCAATTATGCTGAGCCAGACTCCACATACCAAGAGGGGGAGGGCATTTCTCACCGCCTCAGTCTCCGTGTGGCCATTCCATCCTTCCTCCTGCCTCCTCCAGGCAGAGTCGCTCTGGCTGAGCCCATTCCCAGATCTGTGAGAGGACAGCCTCTCACCCTGTCACAGCACATGGAAGACCTTGCTGTGAGTAGAGGGCAGTGCCCACTACAGGGTCCAGCTCTGCCCTCCAGCCCCATCCCCTTCAGCACCACACCTTACCCTGACGGCTCTTTCCTGCTCCGGCCTCCCCTGAGCTGCCCCTTTCATCCTATCCGCTCCCTCAACTAATGCAGCACAGTCTCAGTAAGATCTGTAACTCTGGCTCAGGGGCTTCCCCGGGAGACTAAAGAGCTAACATCACACCCCATGAACCCACTCAGGGAGGGGCAGGGGCTGGTCATCACCGAGTCCTCACCTGAAAGAAAGCTGAACCCAGGCTGGTCATGGTGGCTCATGCCTACAATCCCAACACTTTGGGAGGGCGAGGTGGGCGGATCACCTAGGTCAGGCATTTGAGACCAGCCTGGCCAACACGACAAAACCCCATCTCTACTAAAAATACAAAAACATTAGCCAGGCACGGTGGCAGGGGCCTGTTTTCCCAGCTACTTGGGAGGCTGAGGCAGAACGGCTTGAACCCGGAAGGCTGAGGTTGCAGTAAGCTGAGATCGCACCATTGCACTCCAGCCTGGGCAACACGAGCAAAACTCCGACTCAAAAAAAAAAAAAAAAAAAAGAGCTGTTATAACTCAATCAAGACAGTAAAAAAAGCAAGCAAGCTGAACCCAGAGGGAAAGGGATAAAAGAGGCAGACAGAAGCCCACAGCCCAGAGCGTTCCAGCGCGTTCCAGCACCCTTGCCACTTTCGCCAGCCACCACTGAACTACTCCTTGATACATTGGGTTTCTTGGACAGCGAGCTCAGCACCCCAGCTAGGGTGGAGACGTGGCTGGCCCCCCTGAAGGGGCCAGTGGTGTTGCAGAGGCACTGAAACACCCTCTTTACGACAACTTCATCGTCTCTGTGATCCTTGTCGACCTCAGCTTCTCCAGCTCCACCGTCCTGGTCGATGCGATACTGCACACCCAGCTTTGCCCCAGCCCCTCCAACATCTTCCAGCGCTAACTGGATCCATTTCTGACCAAGGCCTTCACACCTTCCTCCTTCTGCCCCTTGGCTGTTGCTGCCGTGCTAATTTTAACCGTCACTTATTTCTCCCTCATTTCTGTCTCTGTCTTCTGTTCATCAGAACTTGAGGCTACCACCTCCAGGAAGCCCTCCCAAATGCAGGCTATCCATTTTCTGTTAGTTATTTCTCAGTGACCAGGAAATTCCAACCATCAAATAAAATGCCATCTTTGGTAGGACTAAAAAGTGGCTTTTAAACAAAATGTGGCTTAAGACTACTTGAGTGAACTGAAGGAAGTGGGAGGCAAGAAGACCCTTAGAGGTATTGAGCCCAATTCTGTCCATTTCCAGAAGACCCTGGGACTCTCCCTCGCACCATCTTCTGCCTGCCGGCCCAGAGCACTTCCGGCTACATTACGGCACAGCCCCCAAAATGAGAAAGTTGAATCCCAGGAGTGTGGCAACTCACAGGGGCAGGGCGGCATCTGAAGCATACTGGATGTAAGAAAGGAAGCACTGGACTCATTGGAAGTTGAGATTTTAGGCCCTTCTAAGCCCACCTCACCACCTGCGACATCCCAAAGGGACAGGATCTCAGCCCCCCTGACCCCCAGTGCCTGTTACCACTGGGAGCATAATGGGGCTGAAGCTCCTTGCTGAAGGCTTGACTGGATGCACGGATTTGGACAACTACAGCCCGAGTGTCCCTGTGGGATGCAGGAGCCCTGTCTGGCTCCAACCCGAAGTAGGTCAGATTTCAGATAAGCGGGTGGTTTTCCTGTAAGTGATGAAACCCTCTCTGTGCTTAATGAGAAACAGACTCCTCAACTTACCCCAGCATACAAAACCAGAAGCTTGGTGAGGTTCCTAACTTCTGTCTCTTCCTTCCCATCCCCAGATCCCCACTACATACCTCAAATGGCCCCTATGGTCTCAGCCGCCCCTCTCTGTCCCCAGGAATTCCAAACACTAATTCTTCCCAATGTTTTCCTGCAACAGTACACTCAAGTGTCTATTTCTGATCAACAGCTCCTCCACCTGACATCCAAGGCTCCCCGGGCTCTCTTGTAGGAGTTTCCTCAACAAACCACAGCAGCGGAGCCCTACTGGAATCCTGGTACCCTTAGCCGTATTTTTCAGTGGTTTGCAGTATGATTTGCACATCATTTTGGAATCATGCCATTTGTCTTGTCACTTCTGGGCATCAAAGTGCCTTACAGATAATTGGAGTCTATAGACCCTGTACCTCTTGTCTTCAAAAAAAGCTAGG